GTAAAGCTTCAATTTTAGAGATGAGGGCAAAACAATTGTCATCTCATGGTACCCGATTTAGGGGGAGGGGTGGTGTTACCCGGTACCCACCACCTCTGTAAGTGAAATCTTAGATTTTGTCCCCAAATGTCTCCAAAACTAAAAGCCAAATCACAGACTGTCTGTCTGCATGTATACTAAAAAACATATTTGTGTACAGAAATTGCCACTACAGACCCACAGTATGAAGCATTTGAAATGGTCTCTGAGGGAGGTGGGGGTATGTACCAGTACCCACCACCTTAATTCATAAAATCGGGTCCCTATTTCGGACCATTGTTTTGACCTCGCCCCTTATTGTGCAGTGAAACAACCTCTGGACTTATAAAAGTAATAGGYCACAACTAACTCAGATGACGTTAAGGGTGGCATAGCTGTAGTGTTCTTGCCTCTAATCCCTGGGTTCTCAGGTTCATTTCACCTTTTCGGCATTATGTTATGGTCACCAAAAAGTTCGGACATCGTTCTCAGATTTCCATACAAATTCACTGACTTTAAAGAGAAAATTTAGGTAGATTTCTTTAGTTCGCTATCTTAACAGCAGTAAGAAAAGCTTCAATCAAGCTAGAAAAATGATTATTTACTTGTATTTAGAGAACTTACTAAACATTAACCAAGTAAATAGTTCACTTAGAGTCAGTACATTTGTATGGAAATTTGAGAATGTCCGAACTTTTTGGTGACTGTAACACAATCTAAAACAATTTATACCCCGTGAGGGCTAGCACCGAAAAGGTGAATTCCTGGACTCAGCATCACATGTGAATTGAGTTTGTTAGGTCTCTCCCAGAGTAGGACCCACTAGCATCCCACAATGCATTGCGAGTAAAATATAACGTTTTTCTATTRCATTACCTGGAAAGCCCATCGATCTTTGACATACTGTAGTGCAAAATCCATGGCATATGTAGCAGCAAGAAGCGGCATAAGGGCATGTTGTTGAAGCTGATACTTGAGAATAGGAGTGTCGGATTTCCCTTCTGGWCCAACGGTCAGACGGGTAGCTGAATAACGAATGGCAATGGCAAGACAGGCCTTTGCTGCACCTTTGGATCAACGAAAGGGAGCTAGTATGACTTTTTTTAGATTCAAGGATGTAAATAGGTTGGTCAATTGACTATGAGTACCACCCCTCCCCCCGATGGTATACTAGTCCATTGCTGGTTACCCCATACTGTAGAATCTTTTCAGGTTACTTCCTAACGATTTAATAGTAACCCATTTCTACACCTGGGTGGAGAGAGGCACTCAATAAGAATGTAAGTGCATCACTATCCCCCCTCCATTGCTTTTTCATCCCCAATAGTTTGTTGGTACCCATTTGAACAACTGGATGGAAAGAGGCTCTCAGTAAAAATGCCAGTACATCATAAATTCCTCCCCCCCCCCCCCACTACCATTTTACCCCCAATAGTTTGTTGCCACCCACTTCATACATTACCCCAAGCACCACCATTTTATACCCAATAGTTTGTTACCTACCTTGAGACATACTAGCAATACAGATACGACCAGCCAGAAGTTGATCAGCAACAGTCAGGAAACGCTTCCTAATGCTTCCTTCAACTTTAGTGGTGTAAGTCCCATCCTCGGCAACATCAGAGTACACGTTTAGCAGGTTTTCTCTGGGTACRCGAACATTGTCAAAGAAGAACTTGGCATTGTCGACACCATTCAGACCCATCTTGTGTCCCATGTCATGGATCTGGACACCAGGGATTACCTGGAGGTTCTTGTCTCGAATGGGTACCAACACCCCATGAATACCTGTGTAAAAATACATTAAAAATCAGACAWTYTTTAAAATGTAAAAATACCCCAGTTTTAATTAGTTCCCTCYACAGTTCCCTGCACCATCTTGCAAGGTAGCCATGCTTTTGCATCCAAGCRAGAYRAATRGTGAGYTTGCAATGYTAGAGACCTTCGATGCAAAAGCATGGTTACCAATCAAGATGGTACAGGGAACTATGAAAGAAAYTGTTCTCTGTTGCTTWGYKTTAGCCTTGRCTTCATGTAGATTTTTTGAATATTCATGCATTGCAGTGAAGGTCTGTGGACTTTCAAAACTGTTTGCAYTGTTGACATCGTGCATTCTTTACTTTACAGGTAACATCCAAGTATATAACCTGTGCTTCTCTTAATGCTATTTCCATAAACATGCGAACTCGCTAGTTGCAAACGGCAMATTGAAATTTTTCTTTTTGCTGCCGTCAATCAAAACTATTCAGTYGGTACCTTTCATATTTTTGACTGGCGGCAGTGAAAAACCAAATTTCAACTGGTAAGTYGCAACTCAAAGTTCGCATGTTCATGAAAATAGCAGTAATAGAGGTACCGCTACATACCTTGATTGATGCTGTCAATGTATAGTTGAGAGAACACAATAATATGATGCGCATGGCAAGCACCATTTGTAATCCAGTACTTCTGCGCCAGGGGGGTGGGAGTATGGACRACAAATTCTTTAGTTTCCTTGTCGTAAGTGGCGGTTGTTTCCATCTGTATTGCGTTGTTACCATAACCCAGTTCTGTTAGTCCAAAACAACCCACATCCTCAAGGGAATCAATACCCTGAAGTAAAAGCAAATAATTTTTGTTTTCATTTCTGTTTAAAAACTTTAAAAACTTTATAACAAAAACATAAAAATTCATAATAAAAAAAAGGAGGTCAAATGAATATCCAAAATTACCCTGCTGTACAAAAACCATACATTTAAATTACATGCACTTATTTGAAAACATAGTCAAACTGTTTTTTTAAAAATCCCAATTGGTATATGTTGAACTAATTATTACAGGCTTGTGCCGGGAAATGTATACAAAATCATAAATGTATTCAAGGAGTATTAGAAAAGGATTTTTTAAGGAGTATTATCAGCTATTACTCTGGCTTAGAGGATGTTTTATGAAAATGCAAACTTACACAAAAGCATGTAGGGGACACCAAGTCATGCTAGGGCCAAACAAAAAAATACATGTGTTTCCTGTTGTGCAACCAACCCTAATTTTATTGACGATTTTTGCTGACCCTAACATTTTTTTAAATTCCCAAATGCACCCAACATGGTTCCCAGTAAGCTCATTTCCACTGTTGTACCAGTAAAAAAAATCTGATCTACCAACCCCAATTATTTTTCTCATGCAACAGGAAACACACTTATTTTTTCATTTGGCCTAGTATATCTCATTATAAGTAAGTAACATTAATTTTGTTATTTAAACTTTTTTGGACTTTTGATAGCCATTGCAAYCATCTTRCAGCCTCAAATATAACTGTGAAAAGCTTTAGATGACCAAAGATGTATTTCAACTTGTTTTGATTATTACATGCATCTGGGTGATGAGAAACATTGATGTCCCTGAACATTATCCTTTTAAGTATGAGTTCAAAGACTTTTCAAGGAGTTTGAAATTCTAAAACTTAAAAGMTTTTCAAGCACCCTTGAAATTAAATTCAAAAAGTTTTCAAAGAGCGTAAGGAGTAGCATGACCTCTGTTATTACTAAACTGCCGGCAGTCTTTCTTTTTTTCTTTTTGGTCTCTGTCTATCGCTTTTAGTAGTAATCGTTGATGGAGAAAGGATTAACACCAACTTCATATATACACCTTCATGTGAACGGGAGTGAAGGTTAAAGGACAAAAGGAATGAAAAAAACTGCAGCTGTCCTATAATCTTATCTCCCTTCTTGATCCTCTAGAAATAACCCATACCCTGGGAAAGTCCTTCTTACTCAAATGAAAGGGTAATATATGCTTTAATATTACTGGCATTTATTACCTTTAAAAGCTTGTTATGATGTCGTTCTGTTCCTAGTTTCAAGATAGTACCACCAAACAAATTAAACTGGACTGTCATCTTTGTTGCCATAGCAGCATCCACGACTGCTGCCATTTCATGAGCAGCGAAAATCCAAAGTGGATTGTTTTTAAAATCCAACACTGAAATAAAACCTTGGTCACACAGCTTTTTCAATCGGTTAAGCGCCAAATCCCTCTCCTCGTCTAACGAGATGTTATATTTCGGCGTCATGAGGGGATCCTCCGATAAAATCTTGCGAAATTTGACCCTCTTCTCATGATTATCGTGATCCAAAAGACGAGTCATGTCCGCCACATTGAACGAAGGTTTTCCCCATTCTTCTCTAAGTTGGGTTGGATTSAGCTTAAAAACAGCARCAGAAGTCGAAAAACCTCCATTACTTTGTAAATGGGTCTTCGAGACAGCACAGCTTGAGCGAAWGCCCGGTAAAGAAAGGGCTCTTTGGGTCAAAACTCTAGAAATAGCTCGGTGCATCCCGCCTGATATTTCAGTCAGCAGGTACACTAAAGTTACAACCATCTCAAGCCTGGTCAGCGGAAACTATGCGCACTGGRAAAAAAACCACGAGAAGAATTCCCTTGAATATCTCGATAGATGCAGTTTTCTTTTCGTGCAAGGATAGTTAATTAAAGGGATTAGTTCATTATATAACATACCGAAGGACACTGAAGGCATTACAGCCCATGCGTCGCTTATTCGTCGGATCCAAAGTCCAGCTGTTGGTGAAACCACAGGGAGCCCAAGGGAGGCTTAGCAGTAGTTCCCCTCGCCTATCACCGGCACCTCCTGGGTCTTGGGCTCTATTTCCGGCGATCCCAGACTCTGCATCGCATCAGTTTTCCTCCTTCCGCAAAAACCTAACGAGCTAAATCCCATTTCGATCTTTGAATTAGCCGTGCCCAGCCCCCAATTTTTATAAGTCCAGAGCTACGTTGTTTGACGATATCGATATAATTTGAAGCTATATATGGCGTCCAAGTGATCAGGACAAAAWTTTTTATGCTCATCACCCATCACCCACCAATCTGATGACACATAGCAAGTGAAAGTACACATAAATCCATTAAAAAGATAAGCATTCAAGATATACTATTTTATGTTTCTTCAAGCGATTTTTCTCGTAAAAAAAGTGCAACATTCTTTTCCCATTAAAAAAGTTTTTTTTATTGTTAAAAATACTTTCTGTTATGTACAATATATATGGAAGAATAAAATATTCATCATACAGAGGAAAATATGTCCAAAAATACATATATATATATATCTACAGTAGGTTACAAAATAGAGAAGAATTCGACGGAGGTAATACCACGATTATTAATTGACTTTAGTCTAAACCAATCAAAAACACCAGCATTCGAGTCATCCAATCAARATGCTCGAATAGGCTTCCCACTCATCCAAAATTCACCTTGAAACTTTAATCCATTTCTTTATCTTCATTTATAATTACTTTTTTTTAGTGTTTTTCATCAGCTTAGCTGTTTTTACTTTCTGGCAAAGTAAATCCCATCGCTACTGATATAGCCGCTGCTGCCTTACCGCTACTCTGCTCATCACCGTCTTTCTGTAAAATTTTCAAGAACAACAATAACTACGTGGATCAGACATACCGATATTTTTTCTTTGGGTTTCCTGTGGTGTTACTTTTCCTTTCACCACAGGGAGCCCAATCGCCATGGGAGGCCCTTTTACTCACCATTAATTCAAGAACCAAAAGATCGCTTATTTTCTTGACGTCTTTTTGTCTGGACAGTAAGTCGTTCTGTCGCCTAAAAAGRAATCAATTCTTTATCGTTTTGGGAAAAATATTCTTGGTAAGTTCATATGAAATCAAACTCCTCTACTGCACAAGCTCACTGTCCCCGTTTCCTATTCTCTTTTGTTAATAGATAAGCCTTGGAAACGGGGTTGAGCTCCTTACAATGCCTTAGCAATTAAAGGCCCTGTAGACCCAAGTATTGCCAACTTTGATGAAGAATAAGGTGCTCAAATTCAAAGAAACTACAATCCAGGTCGACTCTTGTCGACTAAATAAATTTCCCGATATTGCGCAATCTCTTTCCCAAAGCTCCTAAGTTTCGTTGCTCCCCTAAGAGGGAAGAGCAGGCATCTCTGTGTACGAACGTATTGTTTGCGTAAAGTGTATCCCCTGGGATCCCCTGGTCAGTAATGGTATCGAGGATCGTTCATCGTGGAGGAGGGGGACTGGGGTTCACTKTACCTGACGTAATCATGATATCCTTCTTTATGTTTTCTGGCGAACTGYGAGCGCTTCTTGAGATCTTCCTCGTGTAGTCTACGGCATTAATAAAAAGATAAGAACGAATTGATAAAAACTTTAATCGCTGGTCAAAATTGCAAAATGTACGAGTGGGTTTAAATTTATAATGACCCCAGTATAGAGATATCCATCAATATTACCAATATTATCACTATCATCTGTCATCATCACCATCATCTTCATGAGCAGTATCACATGTACAATCATCATTAATACAATCATCATCACCACCACCACCATCTTCCACAATCACCATCA